AGCGTTTTCACAACATTAAAGCTTGTATTAGAATGTACTACGAGTACATTTTTTATTGAAATGTATTCATTAGTTAACCTGGTACAAGCATCATTTTTGGTATAATTAAGGCAACATCTCACAAATAGTGTCAAATCAATGGTCCATATGTGAAAATCAACAACGTTTGCAGAGTTGAGAGCATACATTGAGTACATATCGAATATTTCTACAAAATGAGTTCTATTGGCCACTTCTTCATTTCTGGAGAGAGAAAACACATTGAAATATTGACCTGATTTCTCTGTCAATATAACAAAGAGTTTGTGTTTGAGAGGAGTGATGTCTGCACACCTATTCCGAAAGAAAAGAAGAACCAGCGAATATCAAGGCAATAATACTCGCCATCGCTTTAACGACTTTCAATTTAAAACAATTTTGAAAGGAGGCGAATTTTGATAATTCAATTAGGGAGAAGAAGAACAACAGACAAAGCTTTACTGCGATAATATATCATGGTTATCACAATTAAAAACGCTAAAATAAACTATGAAGCTGAATTAACGTAAAGATTATATACAACAGTTAAAAAAACTAAAGAATCATTAGAAGAATTAAAGAATCATTTCTTAATAATTAAAAAGATTGAAACTTTGACAAGGCAGTATATGTTAAATTAGCTCCGAAGAAAACTGGAATCTAACTCTAATGGAATTTGTAGGTTTTATGAAAGAGAAAATGATACCTAAACCACATGCTGGGAGTTTGTCCAGTACTGATGTATAAGTGAAAGAAGTACTTATGTAGGATAAATCACATATCGGATGCAGTAATAAACTTTGTGATGTAAGTTCAATATTCAATTTATTCTTTATTTATTGATATTTATTTTGATTTGGGAAAAACTACAAGTCCGAATTTATGGTAGGGTTACAGTAGGTCTGATGGTCGTAGATAAAATCTTACAATATAATAATAGTAATAATAATAATAATAAATAACATCGTCTGGTTAAGACCAAAAGTTGTTTAGAGCATTATTTACCCATATGTCGAAAAATTAATTGGTGTATATGGATCTTTACCAAGTAGCATACTTGGTGATATTTTAATGCTATAAATTTTAAAAAAGTGTGCGTTATAATACCATCAGTCTATAAATTGCAATAAACAATGCATTATATAGAGTAGCTGATTCGGAGCTGACGTGTCAACTGAGTTTTCTTTATTGCAAATGCGACAATTTTTTTTAAAAACAAAGCTAAAAGAGACATAAGTTAGACTTTTATAGCACCTTATATAGATGTTTTATTGGAAATATATTTCCGATATATTCATATAAAAATAATTAATAAACGCTGCTTGAAAGCAAGTCTGTGTTTAATGATTTACTAAGCATAGCCTAACCAAAAGTTGATAATGTGGTGTTAACTGACAGGTAAATAACAAAATTTGAATGTGATTATATCAAAACAATATTTATTTAAAGAATATTTCGCTTTTAATAAATGCTAGCTTTTAGTATCGTTCAATATCACGCATTAGTTTCATTTTATTAAGGAGAGGATAAGAGGAAAAAAAAACATTTAATTATAACATAATCTAGGACAGTTATATTGTGAAAACAATATTCAACACGCTTTTATTTTCGTCATCTATGCCAGCGTTTGAACTAATCCTGTTCATCGTAGTTAGTGAGATATTTAAAAATTTGAAAAAATGTAATGTAGGCACTTACTTAATGTAGGCAAATCTTACAGTTCGTAGTGCACCACATCCTTCTAATAAGTAGCATTGCTGTATTTGGCTAAGTAATGCACGTTGGGTCTCTACCTGCATTAGAATTTGTTTCTACTAATCTGCATTTTGTTCAATCCTTCTTTTATTTTTATTATATGTGTTTGCTGCATCATTGTCGGTGCAACCTATCTATCTTAGCCTCGATCTTTATTTATTATCATCTAAATAGCTTGTTGCAAGCATTATATTTCATGGTGGTTATATATTACTTGGTTTAGTTATGTATTCTGATCAATATTCCTAATAATGTTATTTTGTATAGTTTCAATATTATAGGCAAGATCAGTAGTGTATTTACAGGGACGTACTTTTGTTATTGTTAGCAGTTTTGCGTTCTCCACATTGACTCTAAGCCAAAAATTTCTGGGTTAGATCTCGTTATTACGTTTCTTTTCTTGATATCAGTTTGTTATTCTCTCATTACAAAACAAACAAAAAGATATTTGCATCAGGGTAAAGATTCTTAGACTTATCGTAATATGAATTACGAGTATTAGCCTGTAATCTATATTCTTGCTAACTTTACCATCTATTTTATGTGAGGTCTTAAAGTTGTTACTATAAGCGCTTTTGCATTCAGGTACTTAAAATTTTTTACTCTTTCGATAGGAATATTGTTAATCATTAAATTCGTGTTAGTATAAATGTGTTTTCTGCTTACAATCATAAACTTACTTTTATTTATATTGATTCCTAGTCAAAATTCTTCGCTGCTTAAGTTAACTCTGTTAACTAGTTCTTGTAGACCTGCTAAACTATCGGTGGCGAGAGTCGTTTTGTATGTATATCTTATATTGTCGATAAATACATCACTCACTTTGATGCTCCGATCAATGTTATTGATTGAATCTTCAAAGATGTTAAAAGAGTATATGTTGAATAGAAGAGGTGACAAAATGTATTCAAGTCTTACACTTCTTGAGATGGATATTTCATCGGTCATATGACCATTTTTAGCAGTTTGTTTTCTTATGCAATTAATTTCTTTGTCATATATTTTCAAAAATTGAAGAATTTTCC